GTTTTAAAGCGCCCTTCTGTTGCCGCGCTGTTGTCGCAGCGGTGATGACGTGCGGTGATGACGTCGCGGCTTTAGCGATGCGCTTATATCTCCGTGGATAAGGGCTTCGCGGTTTTGTCGTGCCACGACATGCTCAGTACCTTTAGTAGGTAGCATGTAATCTTCTATAGCATCCCATAATATCATTAGTATGATCTTGTTAATGCGTATCCTCATATTCAGGAGGTTTTTGCATCCTAACGAGGCATAAAGAAGATTGCAAGTAACTAAGTCAGGGTCCCCAGACCAGTTCTCTTATCAGGCTGTACAGAGCTTTCTTTCTTCCCTCAAGGACTAGAAAGATTAATCAGAGGAACTCCTAGTTGCTGGAAACATTAATCAATGCTGCTGCCGCTGCCATTAGAGCCTTTTTGATAAGGCCGGCAGAGTTCACCTTTTCTTTCTTTTCTCTCTCTTTGGCTCACCTGTCCTCTGCACCCCTGTCCTCTGCTGGGCCTGCAGGCAGAGAATGTTCCTTTGAGCAGCTGGAACATGTGCGGGAGATGCAGGAGAAACTTGCCCGCCTGCACTTCAGCCTGGATGTCTACGTGGAGGAACTTGTGGAAGATCAGAAGAAAACTGTGGCTGACAGGAATCTGGACCAGCTGTTGACCAATGTGAGGGTCCCAAGCAACAGCCTCCTTCTCCTCTTCAGAGGACATCCCTCCCTTTCCTGTCCTCCCCCTTTCTTTGGCTAAGGACTAAAATAAGTTGCATGGTTCAGGATGCCGCTGGGCTTGATGGGGAGAGCAATTTGAAATGAAAGGAGATACTTTCCTGGATAGGTGGAAGGGTTGGGAGTCTCTTGTTTGCATGAGCATTTCCTAGTTCCTTTCCAGCCTAGAGAGAACCAATCGACCCAGGAAACCCCACCAGCAACGCACCTGGGGGAAAGCAAGCCACCACTTCCTTCTGGGTCCTGGACTTGCCTTCTCTGAGCTATTAAATTGGTGGTGACTTATAGGCCGGGTTTGTCCAAAATCAAGCCTTATGATGGGAAGTAGTGGGCAGGATGCCCAGGCTGGAGGGGGGGTGTACTCCAGAGGAGAGAGATGCCTTGAGCCTCGAGATAACACATAAGTGGGGAAAAGTCCTGTTCCCCGATGAGGAGATATAATGGGATGGGGAAACGACCTCAGCAAATAGCCATGATAGCAACCAGATAAAAGACAGCTTAGCCTGCTGCAGGAACGGGAGTGGGGCAAAAGGCTCAGAAGACCTGCCTCTGATAAAATATTGTGTGGAGGTGGATTCCCAGAGGGTGGATTCCCAGGATGAGGGAGCGCATTCCAGAGGAGGAAGAGGCAGTCTGGATATCCTGTGTGAGAGAAAGAGGGTAAAGACAGCCCCTCCCTTCACAGAGCAAAGGCTGATGGCTTGCAGAGTCCTCGGTCTGGCAAGATTCCATCCATAGAATCAATAAATAGAATTCAATAAAGAACTCAGGTTGGGAGAATGCCACATGCCGTTCCTGGTTTTGGACTTTACATCAATCTTGCCAGACTCGGAAGGGACTCTGCTATCGGCATCTATCATCTAATCTGAGAACTCTTAGGGAGGCGCTGTCTTCACCCTCTTTCTCACACAGGATACCTGGGCTGAGTTGGCTCTTCCTCCCTGGGATGCAACCCTGCCTCCTGGGGACCCACCTCCTCGCTCCCTTCCATCACATCCCTAGACTGAAGTTGGCTTGGTATTTTGTCCTTTAGGAGGAATGCAACCCATTAAAACAAAGTTTGGTTCACTGTTGCATGGATCCAGCAGCTCAGGATGAAATGGTGGTGGGAGCCATAGCAAGACAGGGGCTGGAAGGAGGGGACCTGCCTCCGCATTGCCCATGTGAGAGAAATGCAATCTTCAATGAAATGAAGCTAAAGCAAAGTTCAAATGGCTCCCTTTGAGGCAGAACAGGAGGAGGCAGGGAGAGCCCAGAGACAAGGCTGTGCGTTTGTATCTTTGGCCAGAACAAGTGGGGTGTGATGAGACTGACTGGGCTCCCACAACACACTGAACGTGCCCCAGGTTAGTCTGGCTGAGGATGGGGGGCTTAGACCGGCCCTGCAGATGGGCCCTTCTCGAGGCCTCCAGAGATGGAGTGAAATGGGCACTGGGATGAGGTTGCATCTCCTCTCTAGTTAATTCTGGTCACTCTAAACCTAGCCTGGCTACCCCATATCTTTATCTTGTTTCCTTGTTTAAATTAAGCTCTTGGAAGGGTAGTTGGGCAGCTTCCCCAATGCCCGTTCCTGCACCTGGCGTGACGTGATCTTGGACAAGGCTTCTGGGGTTGTGTCTCTTGCATATGTTCATAATGCTTTCCCCCCCACCCCCATTTGTTTCTGCAGCTGGAAGAACTCAGCAATTCCATGTATCCTTTTTGTAGGGCCCAATGGGGTTCTCCTGGCAAATTGGTCCGGAGGTGGGAAAGGAAGAAGGATGTGAATGGGGTGCCATTTCAGAGAACACTGTGGCCTATGGGGAGGCAGTGTATGGGTGTCCATGGGGATGGTGGTATCTTGTGTATAGGACTTCATTGTGCTTTGTCCTGGACACCTGAGTCCAAGGGACAGCCAATCTCTTGTCTACAACAACTCTAATTAAGATAATCTAATACAGTATCTCTGCCATTGGGTAACTTGTACAAAGTACATGTAGTGCTTGACTTAACACCTTAATGGAGCCTGGAATTTCCATATGTCATGATGGTCATAACTTGAGACACCCATAGGATCGCCTTGATTTTACAACATTTTTTGAAGCGGTTGCTAAGTAGATGCTGTGCTTGTTAAGAGAACCCATTGTCCACAAACTGGTATTTACATCCATAAAACACCATAAATCATGATCATATGACCCTGCAAACAGCCATAAATACAGGCTGATTGCTGAGCATCCAACATGCAACCATGTGACTGCAGATAGGGACATGGCCATTGGACCTCTGAATGTGGGTTTTTGTACCTTTCAATAATTGCTATGCAACCAGTTCTAAATTGTGGAGTACATGTATTACAAGTGAGCTCCTTTCTCCCATCAACAACCTGTGGACAAAAATGCTAATTTATCTTAGAAGTTTGGTAACCAAAACATTGCAATCCAGGCTAAAATGACCTTGGGTGGCTCATGTGAAACTACCCACTCAATTGTTACGAGAGCCAACCTGTGCTAAATTACGGGAGTGCTAAATTTTGCACCTTGCATAAATCCACATTCGGTCATAAAGCTCACAGACTGATCTTGAGAACTGTCAGTGTGCAATTATTCCATGAGCCACGTCTATGTTGCTTGGTACTCCCAAATCCAAGCCAGCAGTCTTAACAGATGTTCCAAGTAGACAGGGTTGGTGTGGGTTACACTTCCAGGTTCCTCAATGTTCATGTTACATCTTGCAGATTCAATAGAGAGCTACAATCTAAACTAAGTCAGCATGGCTGATGTTCATAACAATATTATACTTCATAGGATGAACCAATGGCAAAGATGTCCCTGGGTGGATGAGGGTCAAAGAAGGCAAGATCAGCGTTTTTCAACTTTGGCAACTTTAAGATGGTGGACTTCATCTCCCAGAATTCCCCAGCCAGCAAGTCTGTTGAGGTGCGCCCATCTTAAAAGTTGACAAAGTTAAGAAACATTAGTCAAGACAAGGACTGTAGCTACGCAATCAAAGCCTTGCTCTTTTGTTTACATGTATTTGCACCTGTAAAAAAGGGTGGGACTTTCGTTGTGGCTGCCATCTTGGCTTTTTTCACCCGGATGCAATCATGCATGAAGATTAGCCAGGATTCCTTGCCGTTGGTCATTTGGACTGAGATGGATAGGAGCTGAAGTCCAAAACTTCAGGCAGCTGGTCTATCCGAACTATAGAAGCCCGGAGAAATGGTTGCTCTCCGTCTCCTCCTACTCATTTCTTAACTCTTTACCTTAGACAAAAGCTTCACCTGGCTGAAAATCCTGATGTGGAAGAAGCGCCCAATGCCTAAAAGAGGCATCGGGAAGGGCCAGGCCGGCCCCCTTCTGATGAGGCCTGAAGAAAGATGCCCTACACGGATGTCTGGCAGGCAACTACTTCTGAATTGTGCTATAAAAAGGTTAGGGGCTGCTGGATGAAAAGACACATAAGCAGCAGGACTGGAGATCGCAGGAGGCAGAAAGCTCAAGGAAAAAAAGTGTGTTCTGCATGGCTACCGAAAAACAAAGGAAGAAGGAAGGCAAAGGAGAGGGACTGGCCAGGATGCTGATCTTCCACATTGGCACCCCGAGTTGAGATACCTTCTTTTGCTCAGGTGTGGCAAGAGGAGGCGGCTTTTGGTTTCCTTCCCCTTGCAGTGTTGCTCCAGGTTCCATAACTGACAAACCTCTCTGGAAGTTTGGGATGAGCAGCAGACACAGCAGCGATGACGGCCCTGCATTCTCTCTCCTCCTGCTGTGTGAGCTGGGCACCTCTAATTTTAAATAGTTTTGTTTTTGTAATGCTACATGAGTTTGATCTCCTGCTTCCTGTGCCTGCTCTGCACATGGCCTTGGTCTGAGAGCTATATATTATTCTTTCCAAGAACACAATTACTTTATTAGAGGTGGGACAATTGCTTTGGGGGGAGTTTGGAAAAAGCTCTCATTATTCATGATGATACTTTTATATTCCTCCTTTTTCACTTGGATTTATAGATGTGGGCAACAGATGAATTCCAACAACATCAAACGTGAAAGCGACTGGGGAACATTTTGTGCTGAGACGATTCTTGAGAACATAATTATCACTGCACCCCCCCATACCCCTCCCCCAAATCTCCCTGGCTGGGGATGTGCAGGAGAAGGAGCAGGCTGAGCTGCTTGGTTTGCTTGTCACAGAGGTTGACTCACAAACAAATGGAGAGACCTGCTCAGCAGTGGGGAAGCAGGGAATTCCATCCCCAAAACTACTTGGATATTCTATTAGCCTATTTCCAGAAGGCTTTCTCTGTTGCTGGAATTGGGGGCGGTTTATTCCTTTGTAAGCAATTTAGTTCACTTCCAGCTGCAGACTCTGGTTCCTGTGAGCCATCAATGTAGTGCTGAGAGTGGTGAAGCCATGACTCTTGGTCATAAAAGAAAAAACATATTTGAAATGACGCTCTCTGGTTTTGATTACTTTGATTAAACGGGAGGGTGCTGCTCATTTTGAGATCTTCCTGTAGGAAAGGTGTGGGGTAGAACTTGTGGACTTGAACTCCCAGAGTTCCTGAGGCAGCTATGCTGATGAGGGAATCCTGGGAGTTGAAGTCCACAAGTCAAAAGGGGCCACAGTTCCCCAGCCATTGCAAAATGAAGTTTTTTTTGATCATTTCTTTATTTTCATGGCTAGGAACGCCGACAGGGGGTGGGGTGGGGAACGGGACATGAAGGGATCGGCAGGCGTTGGAGCGTTGCTGGCGGGGGAAGCCTGGCGCTCAAAGTCCCCCCAAACATAAGGTGACCAGACGTCTCGCTTTTGGCGGGACACCCCCGCTTTTTGATACATTTTCCCGCGTCCCGCCCGCTTTTTTAAAAGGCAC